GTGCGGTCTTTGAAGAGGTGGTGAGCGAAGGGGGAATTGCCTACTCAGTCCAAAGTAGCACTTGTTGGCAAGAGTGATTCTGCGTTGGATTTTAATGCTGACATTATTATCGGTGTTAATGCTGGTTCCCAAGTAAACGAAATTCTCTACTATCTCGAAATTGTAACTGTCAACAGTGACGTGGGTGCCAAGGCGCGAATGTGCTGACTGTTTGTTTGATGACAGGAGATACTTCGTCTTGTCCTCGTTTACCACCAGACCCATGCGCTTTGCTTCCCTATCCAACTTGGAAAAGGCAGAACAGACTTCGCGGTTTTTGTTACCGATGATGTCGATGTCATCGGCATAAGCCAGCAATTGCACGCTCTTGTAGTAAATTGTTCCTGAGCGGTTCAGTTCTGCAGCTCTTATTATCTTCTCCAACATCAGATTAAAGAAGTCACATGAAAGGGAGTCGCCCTGTCTGAAACCCCGTTTTGTGGCGAACGGCTCGGAGAGGTCTTTTCCAATTCTGACGGAGCTGGTAGTATTGCTCAACGTCATTTTACACAGCCGTATGAGTTTTGAGGGGATGCCAAATTCAGACATAGCGGCGTATAGGCAACTCCTTTTAGTGCTGTCAAAAGCGGCTTTAAAGTCGACAAATAGGTGGTGAGTGTCGATCCTTTTCTCGCGGGTCTTTTCCAAGATTTGGCGTATTGTGAATACCTGGTCTATGGTGGATTTGCCAGGTCTAAAGCCACACTGATAAGGCCCAATCAGTTCATTGACGGTGGGCTTCAGTCTTTCACACAATACGCTCGATAAGACCTTGTAACCTATGCTTAGAAGGCTGATCCCGCGGTAGTTGGCGCGAATGGCGGGGTCACCTTTCTTGTGGATTGGGCAGAGCACACTTAAATTCCAGTCGTCGGGCATGCGTTCATCTGACCATATTCTGCACAAGAGTTGATGCATGCACCTTATCAACTCCTCGCCGCCGTACTTGAATAGCTCAGCTGGCAGGCTGTCAGCTCCAGCGGCTTTGTTGTTTTTCAGCCGCGTTATTGCTATACGTACCTCGTCATAGTCAGGCGGTGGAACGTCGACTCCGTCATCATCGACTGCGGGCTCGGGTTCTTCTTCTCCACAACTTTCCGTGCTGCTACCATTTAGTAGGGCGGAAAAGTGTTCCCTCCATAATTTAAGTACGCTCTGGACATCAGTTACTAGGTCGCCATTATTGTTCTTACAGGAGTGCGCCCCGGTCTTTAAACCTTCCGTAAGTCGCCTAACTCTCTGGTAAAATGTTCGGGCATTCCTCCTGTCGGCCAGCATTTCAAGCTCTTCGCACTCACGTATTTCTGCCTCTCTCTTCTTGTTGCGGCAAATACGTCTCGCTTCCCTCTTCAGATCCCTATAGCGGTCCCACATAGCGCGCGTTGCGCCCGATCGCAGCGTGGCCCTGTAGGCGGCATCTTTTTTCTCTGCAGCTTCCTGACACTCCTCATCGTACCAGTTGTTCTTTCGGGCTCGCTGAAATCCGACTACTTCTTCGGCGGCGGTACTTAATGAGCGGGAAATGTGGTTCCACTGCTCGCATATGTCGGTTTGTTGAAGAGTGCTCTCTGAGAGCAGGTGTGAGAGTCGAGTAGCGAAAGCGCTGGCTGTCTGTTGTGATTGCAGCTTTTCGACGTTAAGCTTTCCTTGCATATTTGGGCGCACATTTTTTGCTGCACAGAGGCGGGTGCGTATCTTGGCTGCAACAAGATAGTGGTCCGAGTCGATGTTTGGGCCTCGGGGTGTGCGTACGTCTAAAACACTGGAAGCGTGCCTTCCGTCTATCACAACATGATCGATTTGGTTTCTCGTTTTTCGATCCGGAGACAGCCAGGTAGCTTGATGGATCTTTTTATGCTTGAACCTAGTACTGCATACTACCATGTTTCGGGCCCCGGCGAAGTCGATCAGCCTCAATCCGTTGTCGGACGTTTCGTCGTGGAGGCTGAATTTTCCGACGGTGGTTCCAAAGATCCCTTCTTTGCCCACCCTGGCATTGAAGTCGCCAAGCACGATTTTGATATCATGACGGGGGCAGCGCTCGTACGTGCGCTCCAAGCGCTCATAGAAGAGATCCTTGGATGCCTCATCCTTCTCTTCCGTCGGGGCATGGGCGCAGATGAGCGAGATGTTGAAGAATCTCGCTTTGATGCGGATTGTGGCTAGACGCTCGTCCACCGGGGTGAACGACAGTACTCGGCGACGGAGTCTCTCTCCCACCACAAATCCAACTCCGAATTTGCGCTCCTTTACATGGCAGCTGTAGTAGACGTCGCAAGGCCCCAGACATTCTTTGCCTTGCCCCGTCCAACGCATTTCTTGGATGGCGGTGATGTCAGCTTTTGTCCTTACGAGGACATCAACCAGCCGGGCAGAGGCACCTTCCCCATTAAGGGTCCGGACATTCCAGGTGCATGCCCTCAAATCGTAGTCCTTTAAACATTTGCCGTGGTCGTCATCATAAGGGGGGGTCTCATCCGAGGCTTTGCCTTGCTTCTTCACTGGAAGTGGTTTTTACGTGGCGGGTCCCAAGCCCAGCGCACAACCCATTGCTGGGACGGGGGTGGTTTCGCAACCAAATACACGTTTATATAGCGAGCCGCTTGCTCCAAGCAGACACCCGCTTGCAGCCGCACCTACTGGTGAACAGACGCTGCAGACTTCAGTGAGCCCTTAAACCGAATAAGTCAGAGTGGCCCCACCGAAGCTCCCTCTCTTTCTGCCGTGACCCAAGGCTCCACTCGGATTGGTTACCGCATCTCGCACATGGGTTGCTCACGTTGCCCAGAGTGCGCGAACGAGGACGCAAGAGTCGGGATTGAGTATAGCCATGCAACTGTAACTGCATACCCAGCGCAACGACTATACCCCATTTCACTCCCATTATAATATTTAACTAAACGCGCAAAAACATTGCGCGAATATAAACAAACAAATGTTTAAATTATTTCATTTAATGACGTGGTTTCCTTTATGAGGTATTCTTTTCTGTCCATATGTATATGTGCATATAAGATGCGAATGCAGCTAAAATTCTTTGAAGGTTATAGGCATGTTTTATTCAACCATCACTAGCAAATAGCTAAATCTTGGTCAAATAAAACGAAATTAGCTTATTTCCTATGTTAGCCTAATTTTGACAGTTGTTTGACTGCAAATAGTGTCAAAGTAAGTTTTTCATAAGCCAATATAATTATGTTGGGTAAGTCCTCCATACAAAATAAGCTAATAGCTTAAATTTCTGGACAAATAAAAGACGGCTATTATTGAAGTAATCCTTATTACTACACCTGGTATAATTTCATCATGATGAGGTTGAGTTCATGCTAATTTGTAGCAAACATAGCACGCGCACCTCATAGGGTTAATTTGTTTGTTTACAGTTTTTTGACATTATAACTAGCTACAAGAGAGATCGAGCTAGTTGTCACTTTTACCTTGTTAAATATGCCTTGATTGAAACCATGATTCAATAATTAAAGGTTTGCTCATTAGTGACATTAGCTAAGCCTTAAGCTAAGTGTACACGGTAGAAAAAATACGCGAGATTTAGACAAAAATCTCGCTAGAGACGTGTAAACACTCAATAGAGCTCTACGAGAGACTCACCCACAAAGTCTATGTGAGAGTTATTTAGCGAGACTTTTTCGCCGTGTACCCAGTCCATTAGCTCCCTTACAAAAGCTTTGCACACACACACGAACCCACACACAGTGCCTTGCTAAGGGAGCCGATTTTGTCAAGAGGGAGCGAGAAAACTGTTGAGCAAACCTTTTATTATAAGGTGTGTACTCGTATTGAGAGGACAGAATTCTCCAGCAGCAAAAGTTCTGAGAATTTAGCAGCATTCGCTCTCAAAGAGACGAAATATCCACATAAGTACGAGAACGCAAAATTTGCAAAAACTTGCAACCTTCGAAACAGCTGATCACTTGCACAGTTGCCACTGGTGATTAATTTGGCAATTTATTCTCTGCTTGGGTGCATTTTCCCCCGATTTGGCATTTTATACAATTGAATAGTTTTGGATAAGAAAAGCCTTTTTAAAATACGAATTAATTATATCTGAATGATTAAGTTATTTTTCTCATAATTATTTGTGATATCACATGGTGACGAATTAAAAACAAGAGTATCTCCTCCAAAATCCAAAATCCAAAAAAATTGAACAGAGTAGGTTTAAAATTATAAAATTTTAATTTCAACAATCAACCTACCAAAACCGAAAACTTCAGCAAAAAAACATTTCAGTATGCTTCATTTAAATATATTTTGGTATATTTAAAGGAAAATTATGGTACAAACGAAAAATGTCATACGGCAACCATAGTCAGCACACACTAAAGCAAACAAACTGGAGATCAATAGCAAATTAACGAAAAATAAACGCAACAAACGTTGTGCTTATTAAATTTACGCACTTTTTGTTGTATACTAGCATTAATAATAAAATTTGCAATTACTAACTCAAAAAGGCCATATTTTCTTTTGTTTATTTACAAACATGTGTTTGTGATCGGCTGATTTTCTTACTTGCAAGTTTTAGCTGGGAAAAATTTTTCCAGCAGAAATTTGCAGCTCTCTTTCACATTTTGCTCTCTCAATTTCCACTGGATTCTTTTTTGTATCATGGTTTATGGATAGCTATCGAAACATTTATTTTAACATAACAAAGTACAGCGCATCGTTTATTAACTTACACAAGACTAATCGAACAATTTTTTTTTTACAGGCATTCCCATGATATCACCCTCTGAACTAAATTGGTCACACATGCTTTCGGCTGGCGTAAGCACACCTACAACTCCGCATGCTAACACGCCAAGCGCTACACTAATGCATGTGCCTCAATCCATACCAACATTGGCCGACCGCTTGGAAACGTATCGCCAGCTGGCCACCGGACGCATGCAGAATTCCATGGGCGGTGCTATACTCGCTGCAAACACCATTGTATCGCAGAGTCCACGCGCTGTAAACTACACCACCAGCCTGGTGGAGCGCACCAGAGATCTACGTAACTGGCTACGGCAGGCTAAGACCGAGCACGAGTTGTTAACCGGCGCCGCTGGACCCATGCAGCATGGCAGTTTGGGAATATCAGCTAATGGAATTGGTGTGAACACGGTGAGCTTGCTAAATACTAGGGAGTGTGGCGGAGTCAGTAGTGGTGTTGGTGTCGGTGCCATCGCCGGCGCTGGTACAGCAACCACAACTGGTGGAGGCGGCGGCACGGGCACGCAGACAAACCTATAATTAGGATATAATGTTTTCTGCTGCTGGCGCAGTCAGGAACCCAGATCTTAAGTCATGCTTAGGTAAATAAATAGTAACAGGAGTTAAATGTACTGAAGCATGCTTGTAGACTTACAACGTTATGAGTCAAATATTAGTAAGATCACCAAGCAAAGTTCTAAAATTAACCTCTCAGAACTTAAAATAGAGAGCCTACGGACATTCGTCATAGTGGACTAATCAGCTACATTAAATAACTTTGCTTATGGTCTTAATAATTTTACGCATGACTCTAGTTGCATACCTACATATGTACACACATATGTAAGTACATACATATGTAAAAAAACACATGGATGTACTTAGAAAGCCTAGTCAAGAATTACAACAAACTGTAAGCGCTAATAGCATTTTGTAGTAGATGTGTGTAGGTTAATTACAGTACTTACTTGCAAACGTACAAGTATACATAATGTTTTATTGGATCTCAAATTAAAACCAAAGATAATCGTTGTTGAAACTAAAAGATTGAATATAATAGTTGTATTTGTAATATTGCTTTTGAAAGAGGAATAAATAAAAAAAAACTGTATTTTGGTGCCAAAATAGTCGAGGCTGCGGATATTGAGAGTATTTACAGAGGAAATTTGGAAATGATTACAGTCAAAGTTAGTATTATTTGATAGGGCTTGCATGCAACACTTGAAAAAAATATTAGCAAAATTCAAAATGAAAACTTAGTTAAGCAGCAGGCATTTGAAAATTATGGGAAAGCTGTTTTGACGCCATTGGCTAAATAGTTAAAGGTACCTACATTCATATTGACAATGTGTGTGAAGACTAAGCTCATATTTTAGGTTATCAAACCTGGAAAATTAGGTAGTGAAATTCGACGTGTAAAAAGTAGTCAATGATATATTGTAAACTACTTATATCATCTCCACTGCTCCACATAAAGAAGAATCGGGTTTTCATCCCCAAGAAAATTTAAAAAAACTTGACAAATTTTGAAGGTTAGGCTAGGTGGCAGCCCCGCGCATGGCTCATTTAGACATTTCTTATGTGGTCCGTTGTGTAACGACTTAAAACAATTTTCCTGGAGCTATAAACGCAGGTTGTTTACATGAAGCTTAGCTTGAAAAGCGCTGGGTGCTTAAAACGAAGCTCCGCTGGCAGCTAATGTTCAGCACGGGACTGTTGAAGAAATACGACCCGGAATGCTTTAATCTTAGCACTAATATGAGAAGCAAATGCTGAGATGATACCACCTCTTCATTTTCCAAACAGATACGTCAGCAGGAGTCCGATACGATATTAAATCGTATAACTTGGGTTCCTAGTGGAGAGCTGCCGTTTGGTCAGCTGAATTGGTCCTTTGATTTACTGTGGTCGACTACCGGCCATCAGAACTTCGCAACTTTGCATGTCGCGTTATAGGAAAATGCTTGGCGAGTAAACTGAAAACCTATCTGTTCAAAAGCAGTCCGCATATTGACAAAGCAACTCCCACGCCCTCCCTGGCAAAAAAGAACACCTCAGCAGTGTTGCCATATTAGGCGTTTTCCGGCTATATTTAGCCGGTTGCGAAAGCAAACAGCCGGAGAAATCTCGATTTAGCCGGCAGGCGATTTATTGGCCGCTTTGCCAAAAAATTAGCCGTTTTGTTTTCTTAAAATTCATATATATAATTTTCGGTTTTTAAAAAATTACCGACCCAAAATTCTTAAAATTCATATATCGATGGCTGAGTGGAAGATCGACCTATCTCGGCAGCCAGTTCGAAAACGCTCTATCTCAAAAAACTTTTCAAGAACGCCCTATTTCAGAATTTAATTGAAAAACACCCTATCTCAAAATTCGGTTCAAAAACGCCCTATCTCACTTCAAAATATATTGAAAATATGCTGATATAGGGCGTTTTTGAATCGGCAGCTGAGATAGGGCGTTTTTGAAACGAGTTCTGAAATAGGGCGTTCTTGAAAAGTTTTTTGAGATAGAGCGTTTTCGAACTGGCTGCCGAGATAGGTCGATCTTCCACTCAGCCATCGATATATAATTTTCGGTTTTTAAAAAATTACCGACCCAAACTCTGTTAGAAATGGGTAGCCTTATCTCGGAGAAATTTTTCTTGTCGAAGTGTTTTACATATATACAATTGAAAGACAATTTTTGCTAATCTGAAAAGTCTTCAAATACTTTGCCGATTTCAATGATTTCTTTTAAGCACATATACAATGACCCAAATATAAACTGAGATGCGACATTTTAGCAAGTTTTGCTAATTTTTCATTAGTAAATTTAATGTTTATGCTTTATTATAAAAATATAGCTGATTACTTAAAAAATACCATTTAAATCCAAACTTCATACTTTGTGAAAATATTATGAAATTTTTACCCACATTTTTAACTTTTTAATCAGTATCTTTAGAAATTTTAAATTTTAGTATAATAAAGTAAAAATTTAAAGTACCTAGTATTTACCACTGATTTTTGGCAATTTTTTTGTTGACTGTGGTTCGCATTTTTTCATATAAAAAACTCGTCGAACATACTTTTTATGGCAAAAAACTCGTAACACCGTCATTAAAAAAAATGCCAAAACTCAGCGTTAAGTCCTCGCTAATTCAAATTTGCACCTCATTAAATTAGAATATAATATACTACAGAACTGCATACCATATTTTTTTTATATTTGGGTCACTGTACTTTTTCCAAAGAACATAGCGGGGATTTTTTCTTAAAATTTTTGTTATGAATGTCTTAATTTTTAAGCAAAAGTGCAATACTTTCTACTAATATAGCCATTTTGTAGGACGAAAAGTAACCTAGTGCAAATGTTACAATATAAGAAGGCAAAAAATTTCAATAGAAAGAAACGTCATAAGTTTGTAATTGATTTATTTTTTATATTTATGTATGCAATAAAACATGACTTCCGATGTACAGCTTGAATTAATCAAGTATAACGACAGTTTCCTTTGTTGTCTAAAAATAATTTAATGAATTTATTAATTTTTCTACTTTATTCAAATAAAACATGTTAATTTTAGCTGAAACATTTTAGCCGTTTTTTCGGCCAGTTTAGCCGGTCGGCCCAAAAAGTTCTGGCAACACTGCACCTCAGGGTCTGCCTAGAAAATTTATCAGCATTACTGGCTGCCACTCTCCAACTTATCCCCTAGAATGATGTGTTTGGTAAAGGATTCAATCGGATCACTCTTTCTTCTGGCAAATTAACTCTTGGGATGAATCTTACCAAAAAATCAGCAGGACTACATTGCTGCCTTTTTCGTCCAGGCTTAAGGAATGAATGAAATCTAAGCAAGAAATTTTTCTGATAAGCAAGGATCTAAGCCTGCGAAGTTTAGTGAGAGCACGACGAACGCATCTACATATAGTCGTTTAAAGTACAAAACCGCGTATCGTCATTCTGCAAACCCCGTAATTGACATTTGCTGTCAAAAATTGGATTAGCTCACACAGCTCTGGGCTCAATCCTTATCCATTCGTCCTGAAATATACTAGCCAGAAATGCGATTGCTTTATAAAAGAAAAAAACATTTTGAAATATGAGTGTTTTTACTCTCTAGAACATAATTTATGCAACCTCACATACGCGGTTTCGCATTATCTTGATACGGGGTTTCGCATTTTGTTGACACGCGGTTTTGTACTCTGAACGACGATATGTATTTAAGTATCGTGTTAAGTGAGAGCTTTTCATTTTTTGTACAGTAATTTTAATACCAATTCAAATTACTTGCAGAGTTTACGTCTAAGTTTATACGAGATGTTGAAGGTTCCGGATGCCCACAGAGGAGATATCAGCCCGACTGAAAAAATAAGTATTAAAAATGTGGAGCTTCTGTCAGTAAAGTAAAATACCAACTACTTTACACAGGAGGGGATGGTTCAGACGGATTAGAGAATTTCAGAGAAGCTTGGCTAGTAATTTACCTGCGCGTTTCCTTGACCATTTTCCATTTGCCAATTCATTTGGCAAAGATAACCCAGAGAGCGTCTTTATTTTATTTTATTTCATATTTTTTTTTTTTAATTCAGACTGGAAGACACTAAAATAAACAGGCAGCTGGCTGAAGTTTTGGGAGAGCTCTTGCGGCAGGATCCTACTTACGACTTTTCAATTTTGAGCCATGGCCAAAAATTAGAGTAGATTATAGAACTAAGTTTGTCAGTTTCTCCATTCGCTCTAGTGCTGAACCTCTTAAAAAGCAGAAGAATGTACTAGTTCACAAAAAACTACTGAAATCGCACCCAGAATTTTTGAAAGGCCAAGGTTCAGGTGTAGGCTGAATTCAAGCTGCTTGCTCTGTAGCTCACCTGAAGCTTACCGTAAACGTCGATGGCAAAAAACTCAGCCTAATTTCTACTTTATAAACTTTTCTAAGGCAAGCCATTATACTATGGTGATACCTTGGAAAAGTATGAGTCGAACAACCATTGGACATTCATCGATTAGTTTTCCGCGTTTTAATTAGTATAACACATTTTTATGAATATCCGTAGCGAAGTGTGAATATTTTTTAATTGGAAAACGGCTAACTCTTATCTACCACAAGTTTCCCATATATATTTTCTTTCAACTTCATTAAATAATCAAAATGAATAGTGGTTTCAAGCTGAAAATGTATATTGAATCCCCTAGAACAGGCGCCGGTTAGACTGAATGCATAATATTTACTCGTAATCGTACATACAAACATGGATACATATGTATGTCCTCTCTGCACTCAAACTAAATATCCAAATATAATTTGAAATATCTCCTTTTGATGCATACAGATGCATGTGTGATGAAAATAATATCAAATATTTCCTTGTATAATTTTTTTATAATTAACTATATGTACTAGATAAGTACTTAATAGAAAAAAGTTAAAGAAATAGTCTATTACCATAATGGCCTGAGAAGATATTTCTTAAACTCAGTTAATAGAAGCGAAAAGAAAAAAAAAACAATTAAAGAATCTTGAAATCCAAAACAAATCTAAAACCAATCATTTACCACTATATTAAAGCAAAAACAAGTATTTGTAATTTTTCAAACATTCGTAGTTGAAGAAATGGAATTGTTACTGAGCAATGGAGATCGAAATTTGCATGAGATTAATTAATAATAAAAAGAAAGCACAAATTTATTGATGATTTGGAAGAATAAGCCGAATATGCATTAATAGATACATTCATACATACATACATATGTGGTATATTCGTGTTTGTGAAACTACTACCTACATATATAAATAGTGAAATTAGTTAGTCGTAGGTGTGAGTTGACATTACAAACAAATTTAAATAAAACAAAATTTACAAAATACATAACATATGTAATCTGCTTCTGTTTGAATGTAATTCAACAGAGAAATAAGTGCATACATACATAAAAAATATATTCATAGGTACATATAAAACTTATACAATGCACTATGGTCTGACAGCTACTATTTGCTGGCCAAAAGTAATTTTTTAAAGTATCGACAAATCGATTTTTTTTGTTCCTTCGCTAAACTAATTCTCCGGAGTACAAAAGTCCATACTCATTATTTTCTTAAAGAGTTTTTCCGTTGAGATATCAGCTTTTATAGTTGACATTTCTACAAAAAGTTTATACATTTATTTCTTTCGTAGTCAGTATATTTGTAGTTCGAATCGGAATAAGTCTTCGAGTGATAAAGATACTTCAAAAAAAAAGAATGGAAATGAAGAATGAAGGTAACATTTGCGTGATTGGCCAAAAAGAAAACTAGCATAGAGCTTGCTAAATAAAATAAAATTAATTTTCAAAATGGACTCTAATTTGGGTAATAATATTCCACTTAAGTAGCGGTCTTCACGCTTTGTGGGCAATAAAAATGTTCAATTTAGAGTTTGTGGGCTGAGAATCATGTTGCACTTTTGGAATAATGGTCGTTTTCTTAGAAAACTTCCACGTCGTTTTGCCGTGTTTGAATAGGACAAGCCAACAAAGATGCAAGAAACTTCTGTTTTAAAAATTTTTGCTGCGAAATATTAACACCTACATAAAGGAAATAGCAAGAACGATATGCAGGTACGTACGTGCGTTTTTTGCAATTTTTGTTCAAAATTGTACGTAACGTTATTTTTTTCAACTTTATACTTAGCCTTATTATAAGTAATATACTTGTTGTGTCAGTGTCCTTTCAAATAAATAGCTACACATTAGAACAAATAAAATACAAATACAAACACTCGTGATAAGTGACCTAAAAGAAAAAGTTTTTTTGAAGCACCTATGATTAAAAAAAATATATGTATATGGCAAAAATGTAGTCTGCTATTTCAAAGTTAAATTTTTTTGCTCCGAAACCGATAACACCACATTAGATCTATCATTTCAAAAGCTGACATCAGTTTTGAAGTCTGCGTTTATGGTGAAAAGGGAAACATTATAAAATCTGGTCGTCATTTTAAATTCCAGCGACCCCGAAAACCCCCTTAAAAATAAGTTTTTGGTGAAAAGGAACACGTTACTAAATTTGGTTGCCATATTGGATACGCCTTTAGGAATTTAAAAAATCTGATAAATTCGAAACCAGCGACTTCAAACACACCAAATACTAAGTTTCAAATCAATTTGGT